AATTAAGTTTCTTATCTGTTTCCGAAAATTTATACAAACCCTTACTAATCATATGGATTAAAGCTACAGCCTTAAAAATGTATGGTAACTGGACAAAGTATATAAGTGAAAAATATGAACTTATGTTCAGTTGAATTTTGGAAGACCACATAAATCAAGCCTTCGCGCTTGAGCCAGCTTAATACTTAAAAGCTTGGGCAAATTGAAGAATACACTTAACCATCATTGAATACTTGAAAATGAAAATCGAGCTGCAATCTTCTCCAGTAAATATAACTATATAAGGCATGCTGGAGTGCTTAGTGAATAAAATAATGCCAATAGTTAACAGAGCATGCATCTTAAATTATGTGCTTGCTTTTTCCTCATAAAACCAGGAAGCATGCACATTAAGAAGCCTTTATTTGCTCATTTGACCAAAGAAAGGCGGACTCAATTTTGTTACTTTGTTTGATTCCATATCCTGGCTTTCGTACTGGTGTATTCTGTTGTATTTTCTTGAATTTCTCTGTAAAACGCATCTTGAGAACACCTTGCCAGTACTGAAGACCTGACAGTGGGATTCATTTAAAGGAGGCATCACAATCATCAACCATTGTAACTTCTTGGCAGATTGAAAATGAAAAATAGTTTGATTCGGAAGTCACATCCATTGTTTATGCTTTCTGTGCTTCATGTTATAAGACAAAACCTGCATCTTTCCCCCCAGAAACGTTTTGCTGCTTAGACTAGTCTCCTATCCCCCCCAAGAAATATGTATTATGTAGTTGGTTGTGGGAAAAAAAAAAATATGGGGTAGAGTTGACCTGTCTTTTTGTTTTTTTGGGGAGAATGATTGACCACATGACGGTTTGGGTTGCACAGCTTTTTTTTTCCTATTGCCGCAGGGCCTTGTGTTGATTAGTTGTTGTTTTGCTTTTTACAATTCTTATGACTTGTGAGCCCTAATTATATTCTAGTTTCTGGCACGTGTTGCTTTGCGTGTTTATTGCTCCTTGGTTGAGGCCAAGGATGTATAATGCTTTCTTGTCGTGATACTTTACTTACTGCTAAATACTGCTGATGGATAGGATCATGCCAGTCTTTTTCGTTTCGATATCTTATGCTTTCTTTTTTTCTTTTCTTTTGAAGGTAGTGGTATTGTTCTTGGATCGGATGTGGGTTAAAATTATTCGTTTCGCTTAAGTTCTATTAATTTTGCGTTATCTCATTGTTTTTCGTGGTTATTATCTTTTCAAAACTGGCATAAGAGATAAATATGAATGTGTAATTTTTGTTTGATGCTCTTCTTAAGTTAAGGCCCGTACACTCTCTTCATTCTTATATATCTTCTGACCACTGTTTTGACCAGGTTCCGGTTGATCAAAAGCTGCCTTCTCTGTACCTTTTGGACAGCATTGTGAAGAACATAGGCAAGGAATACAGTAAATACTTTGCTTGCCGGCTACCTGAGGTGATTTTAATTATATATTTATTATTAATGCTTGAGATTCAGTGGACTTCTTGTTGCTTTATGTGGTTTTTGACATGCCGTGAAATCCCATCTTCTTTTGATTTGCTGAAGGTTTTCGCTGAGGCCTATGCACAAGTCCATCCCAGTATGCACCAGGCAATGCGCCACTTATTTGGTACATGGTCTACAGTGTTCCCATTGTCAGTACTTCAAAAGATTGAGGCACAGTTGCAGTTGTCCCCTTCTGTAAATGGTCAACCTTCCGTTTCGAGTTCTTCAAAGGCTTCTGGATCTCCTCGACCGCCTCATGGGATACATATAAACCCAAAATATTTTGAAGCCCAAAATCAGTATGGACGTTCAACCGAAGATACTGTAAGCTTTAGTGAAATCTCATTTTGTTTTATTTGCATTCTTGTTGTCTCCCTGTTTGTTTGTTTGTTTGTTTGGGTACAGTGTTGTAAGGCATTTTGACTATTTTCATGTCTATTTTTTTTTTTNACGTTCCAGTTGTTATGATCCATACCATAATTTGGATCCTTATATCTGGGCACCTTCTTAGTTTTAGTGGCCTGATGATGAGCAGATGTGCAATTCTTAATTATTTAATAAAAATGTAAAGGCTCTTAGGAATGCTGAAATTCTGTCCTGATTCTTGATATATATGGGGATCATGGTGATATGATTTTGTGTTTTCATTTTATTTTCGTCAAATGCATGTTTAAATATCAAGTGTTGCTCCTAGATGGATGAAAGAAAAATATTATCCATTTTTACATGAATAAGTGTAGCCACCCTTCATTTGTTGAAATTTGTTATGACATTTCCGTGTTTTCAAATACTGTGGGCTCCACTTTTTTCCTTTCGTACGTGAATTCTTGCTTAATGTGATGTTATTTTCATCAAATTGTGTCAGTGTTTTGCCTTATTACAGTACGTCATGGTATGTTACAAACTAAAATTGATATAATATATCTTGTCTATGTCATGCTTCATAGTGTATAATCCATTTTATTTAGTCTACAAGTGATGTTTTATATCGATGGTGGAACTGTAACCTACTAAAACCATTTTAATTGGAACCTGCCTTGGATGGTCTAGTGAATACATTTTCCATAACTCCAAGTTATTCCAAATTTGCAGTTTGGAACTGAAGGAGTGAGTTTAACTGGTCGTGACCTTACGACTTCCAGTCTTCATGCTGTAAAAAAGTCCATGCCTCCCAACACCAAACTCGTTAAATCCTCTTCTCCTTTCAGAATTGGGCATGCCGGGTCTTTATCGCCTTCAGTTGAAGACTTCAATGCTGATAATTCCCCAAAAAGAACTTCCGAATATGGGCCATACAATGGAATTCGACGAGATGAGGAGTTGCGAAAGGGAGATTGGCAGCCGGTCAACCACAGTCAAAAGCTCAGAACATCCACCGCATATAACTACAGCAGTGGTCTTGACTTGCGTGGGCCTCGTGCTTTGATCAGTGCATATGGTATGGACGAGAGAGAGAAAAAGCCGAACCGTAACCATGATAAGCCCGAGCAGCTGGACATGAATGATGCAGAGCACAGTGTTTCCTTAAGGCCGTGGCAAAATACTGAAGAGGAAGAGTTTGACTGGGAAGATGTAACCCCAGCTTTAGCCGATCGGAGGCAATCTAATAATGCTTATTCATCTCTAGCGTCTTCTGGGAATTTGTCAACAAGACACGGGTTTATGGCAAATCATGCTGCTCGTTTGGTGAGTGATTATGGAGGAAACATTTCCAAGGCTCAATCGGCTTCTACTACTAATTCTTCTATTCCTGAGGATGTTTTGAGTATAACTGTAAGATTAATCACTAATCTTTTGGGGAACTTTACGTTTTCTTTTGTTAATTATATCCGTTTTGTGTTTGTGATTTTATGTATATACAAAGTTATTTATTCTGAACTCAAACCCTTGTTTCATAGTATTTGGGTAACGATGTTTCCTTTGTAATTTCACAGAACGGGCATGACAAGGTTGCTGGAGTTTTGCAAAATGTTGCCATCCCTAATGATATGGCAAGTCAGATTACCCCTAATTTTACTCGGGAGTCCTTGACTTTTCTGGCTCAGAGCCATTTAAATGCGAACGAAGTCCGTCTTCTACCAGAAACCAGAAGCTTTTCGACAGCTGGCCTGCAGAAGCCTTTCCCAAATATGGATTTGACGTATAATCCCACCTACAGCTCATCAGCTCCCGAAGTTCGAGTCGTCGAGTCATCAGCTTTAACAAAACCTTGGAATCCCTCAACTTCCCAAAATTCACACATTATGCCCTCGCTTCCCTCTATTCCCCCGCATATGCAAATCCGAGGTCAATTTGGCACACACAATGCTTTTGCTGATCAAATTCGCACTGATCAGCTTTTGGGTAACACCGGAAGCACATCTCAATTTCCTAATTTCCGGCCAATGCCAATTCCCGTAAATCTGCAGAACACTGCACGGCCGCCTCTATTACAGCCAAACCCTTCACAGAATTTATCATTGCCTTTAGTACCTATGCCATCAAGCACAATGGCACGGCCTTATGCTCATGTATACTTGGCACAGCCGCAAGGCCCTTCTATTGGCAATACTTCATCCAATTTAGTTCAAGGCACGCAGTCATCCTTCCCAATTCCTAATATGCCTTTTCATGCACCTAGGGGCCCTTTTCATAACACCAATCAGTTTTTACCTGTCGGTCAAAATGTTGGTCAAGTTGCTCCTACGCGTACAGGTGGAGGAACTCCGTTTTCAGGTCTAATTAGCTCGTTAGTAGCCCAAGGTCTGATATCATTGCCGAAACAGGTACTCTATTTATTTCCTCCGTTAATCCCGTCATTCTCTCAATTGCAGCCCGAACTGCAAAAAACTAACCTTAAAAATACAAACGAAACATCTACAGATTTATTATAGTATTACTATTAGAAAAATTTCTTCTTCTGTTTTATTGATTTTAATTGGTTTTCGACCTCAAGCTTTGGCTTTCTTTTAGTTACCCCTCATCTAAGGCTATGTTTGGTAAAACTAGTTGATAAGTTAGCTTATAGCTTATCAGTATTTTTCGAACTTATAGCTTATACCTTATAACTTATAGCTGAAAAGCTAGCTTATATGATAAAAGTGTTTGATAAAATTAGCTGATAAGCTAGCTGAAACAAAAATTTCCACGAGCTTATTTGGAAAGCTATCCTAAGAAGCTTATGAGATAAGCTCGAGCTTTTTAAAAAAGCTCGTCCTACCAAACGAAGCTTATTTAAATACAAGAAGCTTATAAGCTAACCAAATAAGCTATAAGCTAGCTTATTAGTCTACCAAGCTATCTTATTTATCAATCTGTTTATTATTATTTCTCACGCAACACTGTACAATATATAGGACTCTGTTGGGGTGGATTTCGATCAAGACGCTCTCAAGATCCGTCACGAGCCCACGATAACCTCCCTTTACGGAGATCTCCCGAGACAGTGCACCACCTGCGGCCTCCGTTTCCGAACTCAAGACGAGCATCGCAAGCACATGGACTGGCACGTCAGCAAGAACCGAACACTAAAGAACCGGAAGTCAATGCCCTCTCCCAAATGGTACGTGAGCGTTTCATTGTGGCTGAGTGGGGCCGAGGCCCTGGGACCCGAACCAGGCCCTGGGTTTTTGCCAGTCGAGAAGGCCGTGGAGAAGGTGGATCAAGAAGAGGTAGCTGTGCCGGCTGAGGAGGATCAGAACGCGTGTGCGCTGTGTGGGGAGCCATTTGATGACTTTTATAGTGATGAGACGGAGGAGTGGATGTATAGAGGGGCCATTTATTTGTATGGGCCTTCAAGTGGGCCTTTGGTGGGGATGGACAGGTCGCAGCTGGGCCCTATAGTGCACGCGAAGTGCAGGTCCGACTCGCATGAGCGTTTTTCTGAGGATGTTAAGGATGAGGGGGTATGTT